GGGACAGTGTAGGAATAAAAAATGAATGACTTAAATATGTTTTTAGTCCCTCAAATTTAGGGTAAATTTATTTTTGGTCCTTCAAATTTAAAATTATTGTTTTTAGTTCTTGTAATTTCAAAAAATCTTATTTTAGTCCTTATATTCAAATTTTGTTAAGAAATTTATCAAACATTATTGCATAAAATCTACCTATTCGTAATTCTATTAGTGAAAATATCACATTAAATCCGGTTAATATTGCATAACTGTCTTAATTAGTCACTTTCAAATATGTTATTAGTAACCTAAGGAACTAAAAAAATATTTTTAAAAATTACAAGGACTAAAAATAACAGTTTTAAATTTGAGGGACCAAAAATAAATGTCTTAAATTTGAGGGATTAAAAATATATTTAAGCCAAAATGAATTAGCAAAACTAGTGGTCATCAAGTGCAAGTTTTACTCAACATTGTTATCCTGACCGTTAATTTTAATTTAAGGGTTATAATTATTTTATCATCTAATATTAGTAAATATTTTCATTTAAGTCATTCTTTTTCATTCTTCGTAATCGTTAAATTCAAAATTCTTAATATATAAATTAAGTTTATAAATTTTTTTAAAAAATTGAAAATTATATAAAATTTCATTTCTTTAATTCAAATTAATGGATAAAATATTTTTATGATTATCCGTCAATTGAATTACTTAAACAAAGTATCACATAATTTTTTGTTTTTTTTTAAATTTTTGTAAATTTGATATATGTATTAAAAACTTTTAATTAATAGTTAGATTTTGAAATTGAATATAAGTAATGGGTTATTGAGTACTGTAAGTCCACCAAAACTTACTCTTGGAATTAGTGGATCCTTCTTCTCTCTCACACATATGTACTACATTGAATTTCAACAATTTAATAATTGAATTAAAAAAATTAAAAATCATATTTAGTTACTCTACTTAATAATTCACATTCTTAATATATATAAATTTTAAAAAAATCTAAAAATCAAATATGATATTTCGTTATATAAATTTAAATTAATGGATAAAATATTTTATAATTATTTATTAATTTGAATTAATAAAATGAAATATCAAATAATTTTTTAAATTTTTATAAAAATGTATAGACTTTATCTGCACATTAATAATTTTTAATTCAACAATTAAATCGTTGAAAATTAATATACAATATGAGTTATTGAATGACATAAGAATATCAAAACTTACTTTTGGAATAAGTGAATATATATATATATATATATATATATATATATGAGGGGGGTTATAATTACACCGGTGTAACTTTTACTAAGTATTACACCGTTTAATAATTTTATATTAATTGTGAATTTTGTAAATTCAACCGTTAAATTGAAAGTTAATATCACCTTATATGTGTATATCAAATTTTGTTAAAATTGAACAACAACTTGAAGGTAATCAAAGTGTTCATATTTTAGTGTATTTTGAAATGAATATATTATGTCAATTTTGTTTTATAAAAATAAAGTATCAAATCATCTTGGATTAATATAAAATTTTGTATATACGATCTAAGAGATATGAAATTTTAATCTAACAGTTAGATTTACAAAATTCACATTTAATATAAAGTTATTGAGCGGTGTAATACTTAGTAAAAGTTACAGTGTTATTATAACCCTCCTCTCTCTATATATATACATATAATTTTATATTAATCCAAAATAATTAAATACCTCATTCTTATAGAACAAAATTGACATAATATATTTATTTCAAAATATGTTAAAATATGAACACTTTGATTATTTTTAAATTGTTGTTCAATTTGACATAATAGTAAAAATTATATTAGTTTCATTTGAAACTTTCTCATATATATA